TTCTCTGAAGAATGTTCTGTAGTCAGCTTCAGGTTCAAACATCTCTGTAGGCATCGGATCTGTGTTTAACCCCGTGATATGACCAAATTCATTCAAGCCAAACCTGATAGGTTGACCACCGACGAGACACCAAATCTCCTTCGTATATATTCTCAACTGTCTACATAGAAGATAGTGTACAGTCTTACCAGACCACGTGAATTGGCTGTCAGATAGCTTAGCAACTTTTCCAATAGGTAACTCCTTCATTTGATCCCACACATCTTGACCTATTGATTCTCTAATCCCAGGGAGATCTGCCATCTTAAAATTGTGGTTAATGGATTTATTCTCCAGATTAGACTCCCCTTCTGCGTAAAGTCTTGGAGGGTAATCCCTTCCTTGTTATTCTGAAATAACCTTAGCCATCTGATAAGAAAGTTAAAATCAGCCAGAGTATAAATCATTACTCAACCACACAAACTCAGCCACAAATGCATTGGTAAACCATAAATCAGCCATAACGCAAACCGTAACTCAGTCTCAATGTAAAACAAACTCAGCCATAAATGCATTGGTAAACCTTAAATCAGCTGTAACGCAAACCGTAACTTAGTCTCAATGTAAAACAAACTCAGCCACATATGCATTGATAAACCGTAACTCAGCAGTAAGGTAAATAGTCACTCAGCTGCAACATAAAACAAATTCAGCCACAGATGCATTGATAAGCCAGACACAAAATCGAATAGATCTAACAAATCAGACACCATATGTAAATCAACGACGGCGAAAATCAGCCGCAATAATCATCGATAAAAACCCTTAATATCGCCGCGATAGTTTTCGGAAAATGGTTTAAATCACAGGAATCACATGCAATTAAACGGTTAAACTAAAAAATAGATTCGAACTTACCGGAGCAGGTTTGTTCGTGAAAAAAGAAAGATGAAAAAAGAGATTTTTAGTAATGAAAACTCGGAGTCCAAAAAGGAGAGTTCTAAATCGCCGAAAGAGAGAGAGAGGTTCATGAAAAAGGAGACGTAATGCAACGGAGAAGCGGCCGGAAGAGACGATACGATGGTGGAATTAGGTTTCGACTTCTAAATCGCCGAGAGAGAGGGAGGTTTTTTTTTCTATAACAAAAGAGAACGATTCAGTTTCCCTCGCTTTTAATCGTTAATGACATGATGTTAATGACGTGGATTTAATTTTTTTTCTTAATGACGTAGATTAAACTAATTTTCGTTCTTAATTTTTTAATTAAAAAAATACAAATTAATTTAGAGTGTTAATTGTAATTACACAAGGACACAAAATATTTGAGTAATTTTTAGAAAATGTATAATATACTAGTAATATTCCAACTTTTCTGTAACATCTGAGTAATTCTTTCATATATTATTGTAACATCCCGATTTCTAGAGTGTGAATGTATATATGAAGAGGCTTAAGAGAATTGATTTGGCTATCCATGTCACTAGAGTGTACTTATCTTTTCGGTCACTGATCCTGAGAAAACTCCAGGGTAAAGCGTGCTTGAGCTGGAGTTGTACTAGGATGGGTGATCTTTCAGGAAATAATTCCCAAAACGTGTGTTAGGATAAAATACGGAGAAAGATCATGTGGTGATTGTAGGGTCAGTATTTCAACAATTTCAAGCCTCCGGACCATCGGACAAGGGTGGTGTAATGACCCTGATAAGTGATGAGGACGGCTGATCGCGGTCAAAAACAGGACAGTTAGTGACCTTGCGAAGTAAGCTTGGAGAGTTTAGACTTTCTACATTCAAGAATAGTGTTTTGTTGAATTATCCAAACTTAGTTAGGTCGGGTGAATATAAGTAGGATTTCTCGGAAACAAAATACCAATATTGAAGCCATATCATAGATACAAATTAATTTACTGAATATAACTAAATAAACACTTTTACTACAAACTGTTTGGAGCTGGTGGTGAAGATGGTGTCTCAACCAATCGGAATGACCAGCATTCTTAATCTTTCTGGAAGAGTTTTAGAGAAGCAAGAGGGAGTTCATCTTTTTTTTATCTCATACATCCCACAGGCATAGAATACAAAGGAGGGCAAGTTAGCTCCATGCTCGAGACTACCTTTAATCGAAATCTAAACAAAAGTACTTACTACATGGTATCCTTAAATCAAACGAACCTAACTAAAAACATAGTCTACTTCCAACTAATTAAAGAGAAAAGTTTTTTTTTTTCTCATACTGCGTAAACAATTATACAATATTGTGATTGTTGTCATGTTACATTCAGCAGCTGCTGTCAAGCGTTTTGCACCTCCAATTAAAGAAGGAAAGTGTCGACATCATTTCATCATAGCGAAGCTTGTCTGAATTGCATTGCTTTTTTTTTCATTTGGCCTCCTTTGATTTGAACTAAAATTGGAACATCCGAACATAAGAGCACACACGTGGTAGCAAACAGTTTTCGTCGGTACGTTCTCCGAGATCCACTAGCTCTACGTATTAATCCTCTTCCTTAATAATGCAAACTGTGTGGCAATTCAACCTTTTACCAAAAACCATGGCGACTTTCTTCACTTCGTCAATATAGAAACTCTCATATGTAAGCCGAATGACAATGTCACGAGGGAGTGATCAAATTTCAAGACCTTTCTCCAAGAAACCTTTTCGGCCACAATCCTATTCGTGATCCATATCGCAAGACTTCCACCGTACTCATATAAAGCCTCAAGGTCACCCCAGTTCCATACGCCAGAGGCAGAAGCGGTCCAAATCTCTCTCTTGTATAATCAAAACAGATTATGTGGTTGGCGTCTTCGCTCCAACCACCCCGTGAGTTCCTTTTTTTAGCACACCAGTAAGTGTGACACGCCATATTCATATATTTTTATACGCCAATATGGACTGACATCAAGAGTCGTCCATACCATAAAAATTCGTTCCAACGTTTACATAAGAAAACGTCTATAAACCTCAATAATTTGTGGTTACGACAAGATCTCTTATTATCGTATCCGAGAGCATAACTGAACATGCTCAAGTATACTAAAGTAACATATATTAATTTATTATACTTGAGGAAGTTTTACTTTAAAATGAAATTCGCTAATGGTTTGTTCTTCTATCTCACAAATTATTGTGTATCTTCATGTTATATACAAATTATTGTTTAAAGAAAACTAACAGACAGTATTTTAGTATACTTGAGTAAGTTCTACATAAAAATGAGATTTACTAATGATTTGTTCTTGTAGCTCACAAACTATTATGTATCTTCATGCAATATACAAATTATTGTGTATCTTCATGCTATATATAAATTATTGTGCATTATGGTACCATATGACTGATTTTTAAAGTTCTATTTGGTTGAAATATTCATTAAGTTAATCTTTTAATTTCAAAGAAAATTATGAAGGTCTCAATGAGAATAAGAAAATCGGTTATAATAAGTTTATCTATTTATTTAGAGAATATGCGTATTGAGTTTCTCAATGAGAATATGAAAATCAGCTAGAGTAAGTGTTTGATATTATTTATTGTGTCAACATAATATTATTTTTTCCTTTTTTCTAAATGAAAAAAAAATATTGGATTTTGGTTTTATTTTTAGAAAACCAAAATCTAAAATCGATTCCATATTATTCTGATTAAAATTAACCCATATTATCGAAAAAATATGAAACACACGCTAAATTAAGATTATGTTACATGATACTACTTTGTAATACTTATCTGGAATTCTCGGAACCGAAGATAATATCGTTATTACTTTGGTGTTTCCTAAAACTAGTAGGACTATGGCTAGTATTTTTTATCATATAAAAAGATAAACACCTTCTAACATTCTATCAAATAAAAATTTCTTCGGCATATTTTCCTCTCTATCTCTATCCATATCATCCTGATCATCGTTTCAAAAATCCGAAAACTCAGCTAAAAATCGAGCATTAGTTCAAAACACAGAAAGACATCAATGAATCGTCTAGTGCTTCTCTGTTTTGTTTTGGTATTTAGCTTCACCATGATAAGTAGCGAAGCCTGGTCGTACGAGGTGAGCGTGTGGATCAGAAACAAGCTGAATGTACAAAACGATCTCATAGTCCATTGTAAAACCGCAGACCAAGATATGGTATACCATAGGGTGCATCCCACAGGATCCTACAATTTTATTTACAAACATAAAGTCAGTCCATGGTGTTGTGGTATCTTGGACAACGACTTACCTTATTCTTTTAAGTGTCATCTATGGCAAGGACCTAATTTCAAGCATCACCAAGAGTTTGAAGCTTACGATGGCAACGTATGGGAAGCTAGAGGAGACAGAATCTATCGTCAGTCCGTGTTGATGTATGGTTGGGATGTTCCAATATCAAAAGCTTCTTCGTTGGGATTAAGTTACATCTCTTTAAGCTTGTTGTTAGTTTCTTCCTTGTTGTTTTCCAATTATTTTCTCTAGTTTTAATTAGTAAGTTTATTGTTTTCAATTTTTTTTCTTTTGTGAGTTTTGTATTTGACAAATGATTTAATTTCTCTTCTTACATTAATTACGTGAGTTTCTGCATTCAAGAATAGAGGGCTTTGTGGTTTCAAATGGGACTTAAAATAAGGTTTGGTCAACAATAGATTAGGTCACGTGAATATAAATCCAATTATCCGAAAAATGCCAATCTTGAAGCCATCTCAATTACAAACTTCACTGAATACGACTATAATTTTTCTGAAAAAAATATTTATGTAGTTAAAGTTTTTTATACAATTTGATTACTCGGCTTATGTAATAGTATAAATCATTGATATGACATAGTACTAGTCAAGTCATACATACTTTGAAGCCATCTGAATCAATAAACTGAACTAATATACGTTTCTTTCGTTTAGGACTTGTTGTGCTTCCATTAAAAAAACTATTTCTTGGTATTATTCACTCACGCAAAATCGCGTAAAACTTTGCTCAACTTATCAAAAGAGAAATAAAAAGAGAATAAAACTTTTATCTCAACATTTTTTCCACTATTTTGTTTGAAATAGAAAGGAATACAAGCTATGCATATTAACGGACGGAGGATGGCGATGGCGAAGGCGATCCAGCGAGAATGGACAGATTTCACACGCAGTTTGAAGATTATGGGTTTCTGGTTTTGTGGGTTCGATCCAATAATGATGATTCACGGTTTACGAGGAATATACGGTGCTCTTTTAGAGAAGGGGATATATATGGAAACCCTGATCTGGATGAGAATCCTAGATTGATCGGCTCTTCCATTTCCAAGCAAATACGATTCATCTGGTTCACGATTGTCTGCAAATCTTGGTGTCAATTGAATCAATGGTGGTGCTTTATTAATGATCTAAACCAATTCAGGAGGTATCAAGGAAAGTGGATATATGACAATCAGAACAACAAGGTAACGGAATCTTTGCGAATTACAATTCCATTTTATTGTTCGAATCATGGGTTCACGGTATATCAATTAGAGGGAGTCATATCGGATATCACGGAATTAGGGGAATACTCTGTCAATAGTATCAACGGAAGTTATTGGTTCCTAGAACAGAGGATAAATAGCGAGGGAATAAGTGATTATCGTTCACATTATTCTCGATTCACTCTTTTAACTTCTCTCTTACAACTATCGGCTTCTCTGTTTTTGTTAGAGAACTATGATATGTCACAATCAAGGGCTGCTGCGGGAGGATCCAACAAAGGCAAAGAGTCTCTCATGCCACGCTTGAAGATCACAGTTCCCCGGTTTGACAACACTGAGCTAATCAAGGCATATTCACGCACTCTCATTGGAAGATGCATGAACCCGGGGGCGCAGGATATGAAGTCATTGTTATACATGATGCCTCGCATATGGAATGTGGAGGAACGAGTTGCTGGTGCTGATCTTGGCATGGGGAAATTTCAATTCGACTTGGACGAGGAGCAGGACATTACGGCAGTTTGCAAATGGAACCATTCCACTTTGATGGTTGGATGGTGGCCCTAGTCTAGTGGCAGCCAATAATGGACCCAAATTACCAATCCTCACTCACTTTTTGGGTCCGAATGATGGGTATTCCACTGCATTTTTGGGCGGAACCGACTTTCCGGAGCATTGGACAATCCATTGGTGAGGTTAAGGGGGTGGACATCGATGGAGGCATGGTTCAAATTACTATGGATGGATTCAAGCCACTCACCTTTGAAACAACAGTTGAGTTTCACAATGGTGACGAAACCACAGTGATTCTTCGGTATGAGCGCCTTCACGGATATTGTCGAGAATGCCTCAGTCTCTGCCATGATACTATCAAGTGTCCCATTCTGTATCCGAACGGGAGAGGCGTGATGAACCTCGACAAAAGGAAGACAAAAATGATGGGGGTGCTATGAGCTACAAGGGTGTGGTGATCTCAGGCTTTACGGGAGACGAAAAGGGTGATAAGGTGTCCGCAAATAGTAACCAGGTGGAGCCGTCAAGGAATAAAGGGAAGCTGGTAGACTCATGGGAGGGTAAGCGAGCCAGTTCTCATGGTGACAACAGAAGCAGAGGTGCTGGCGAGGTTTCAACGGGGCTTATGACACAACCAGGCAATTTCCACCAAGGGGAACGAGAAAACGGTTTGAGGGAAGGATGCGAAGCATTCATCGGCCTACTGAAGGGTATGGGCATGGCTATGGGATTCGTGGTGGAGACCAAACGACATCTATGGTGCCTAATAATGATGGAACCTCTGGTATTAGTCCTACTCAACACTCTGCTAAAAAGGTACGTAAGGAATTAAACTTTGAGGAGGTAGTTGTGGGAATGGATGAGCTCGGCAATATGATTGACCAGGTTGTGGTGACTGAAAGTAACGAGTCGGTGGAGATTAATGATTTACAAGTAGATGTAAATGGCTTGGATATGGTCTCTACGAACATAAATATGGAAATACAAGAGGGTTTTGATATGGTGAATGATATGAGTCCCTATGAATACGCGGAAGCTGATGCACAAGGGAACTTAGGAGAGGATAAAGGAGGCCAAGTGTTATCTGGATTGACGGCTACCGATCAGGTTCAGGAGGAGGTCATATATGAGGAAATTGCAGCCGGTGAGGAGATAGCCGCTGGAGTAATGCTCGAACCAGAGGTACCAAAAGGACCCCATAAAGCGAGGGCTAAGAAGAAGTTATTCAAAGCAACTGTTCAGATGGGTGGCGGTTCAAAGAAACTAATTCAGGCTGCAACTCCAAGTAAGAAAGGTAATGTCCGGGATCTTAAAGGTTATGGCGAGAGAGGACAGGCACAGAAAGGGAAGAGTGTCGACCCGGGTGAGGGATCAGGGGATAAACAAACTGTTTAATGCGGATTATAAGTTGGAATTGTCAAGGTTTGGGTAACAGGTACACAATAAGCTACCTCAGAGAGATTTGGAGAAAATTTAGACCTGATTTTTTATTTCTTTCTGAAACGAAGCAATGTTTTAATTTTCTGGAAATGTTTAAATTGCATTTTGGTTATGATTTGATGTATACGGTTGAACCGTATGGTGCAAAAAGTGGTTTAGCTTTATTCTATAATAAAACTTCGGATGTTAAGATTTTATTCTCGAGTAATCGGATTATTGAAGTGGAAGCTATGATTGAAAAGAAAACAATTTTAATTATCATTTGTTTATGGTGACCCAATTCCAAAGTATCGAGATCAAGTTTGGGAACGTTTAACAAGAACGGGATTAACAAGGAATGATTCCTAGTTTTTAATTGGGGACTTTAATGAAATCATCGGAAATCATGAAAAATAAGGGGGTAATATTAGACAAGCTACATCATTTATAAATTTTAATACGATGATTAGTAATTGTGGTTTGATCGATTTTCCAAGTTGTGGAAATACACTTTCTTGGAAAGGACGACGAAGTGGCTAAAATGTTCGGTGCAGACTAGATAGGGGTCTAGCCATTGATAACTGGCATGATTTATTTCCCTTCTCGCATGTGAAATATTTAAGGATGATTGGCTCCGATCATAGACCAATTGTTGCAACAATTGAAATAAAAAGGACAAAACAATAGAGACAATTTAGATTCGACAAAAGATGGGTGGATCAAGAGGGTTTGGTGAATGCAATAACCTGCGGCTGGTAGTGTGGAAATATGGACAATGCACAATCATTGGTAGACAGAATCGAAAACTGTAGGCATGAAATATCAAAATGGAGACACGCAAATCAACCCTACGGAAAAGATAAAATTATGGAGCTTCAAAGAATACTTGAAGATACTCAGAACGATGATAGTTCTACCCAAGAAGAGCTCAATGTTATAACACAAAAGCTTAAAGATGCATATCGAGATGAAGAACAATTCTGGCAACAAAAGAGTAGGAATCTCTGGAATAGAAATGGGGACCTTAACACGGAATATTATTATGCACTAACAAAGCAAAGGCGGACTATAAACAGAATTGTTGGTTTACATAACAAACATGATGTTTGGGTCGATGGCGAAGGACAGGTGGAGGAGGTGGCAGTAGACTATTTTAATGATCTATTTACCACTACTTCTGGTGGAGGTGGTGGCAGTAGACTATAAACAGGATTGTTTGGTTTTCGCGGGAAATTGTAGTGTATCAATTTTGGTAGGAAAGTGTGATTCTTGTTTTGACGAGAAAATAATTTTTTGGTTTTGGCGGAATAGATGATTTTTCGGTTTTCGCAAGAAAATAAATTTTTCGGTTTTGACGGAAAAATACGATTTTTCGGGTTTTGCAGGAAGATGAATTTTTTTGTTTTAGTGAAAAATGTGATTTCTTGGTTTTGGTGGGAAAACACAGGTTTTCGCGAAAAAATGTGATTTCTTGGTTTTTGCGGAAAAGTACAATTCTTTTGTTTTGGTGAGAAAATGAAATTTTAAATGTTTACGGGAATATGCGATTTTTCAATTTTCATAGGAAAATGAAGTTTTTGTTTTGATGGAAAATGTATTTTCTTGGTTTTTATAAGAAAATAAAATTTCATGGGAAATTATGCTAAGTTACAATATGTTTACGGTAATTAAATTTAATTATTTAACTTCGACTAAATCAATATTTCATCAGTTCAAACATAATTTTCTATTTAGTTCTAAAACAATAGCAGTGGTTTTGATATGAATGTTATTAATTATAGTTTGATGGTTTTAGAAACATATGTTTATAATAAATATTTGATAAATAAATAAATTTCATAATTCAAAATAATCATATTAATTAATAAAAAATGATATTTGCTTTATATAATTTCAAAGGATGATCAAGTGGTAATTTATGAGAGAAAATATATTACATTTGTCATTAGCATGAAAGTACTTAAAAATATATTGCTTTTATTTTTACATATACATTTATAGTTAGTTAGCTAAACAAATTTGATAGCAAATTATAATTTTGAAAAATATAAAATTAAAGATATACAATGTTTATTCAGATTTAAAACATATAAATACATAACTTAAGCTAATAACAAATTAAATATAATACTCATTTATATAATAAAAATAATTTTATTATATTAAAAATATATACAAAATTTAGAAAAATATTCCGCAGCGTAGCGCGGGTAAATACCTAGTTTGGTATTAAAAAATTAATTTTACTTTGAATTGCTTACCTACATAACTATCGCCAGAATTTCTTTCGACCCAAAAAAGTATCGTCAGAATTTAAAAATTTTTTTTTATTGAAACCATTGATTATAAAAAACTATTACTATATGTTAAACTGAGAGTTGATAAAAAAAACTGTTGATTTTGATTTTTTTTGTTTTCTAATATGTTAAAGCTATATTCGAATTGTTGAATTGATTTCACAATTGATATTGTGTACATGTATAAGAAGTTTTAGTACACATAGTTTAGTGTCATGAAGAAGGTGGGTTCAAGGCTATCACATCGGCTGGTCGACAGTGGGAAAGAGAACTTGCGGCGTCTGAGAAGACAGTGAGAAACATTCAGGCCCAAGGTTTCTGAAATTTTGACTGGGAAGCTCGGTTGTTTAATGGGCTAGGCCCATCTTTGTCAACATCAAATCACTTTTCTTGTTCCTTTATTTATTTTATTTTTTTGGTCGAGTGTTTCTTTATTTTGTTTACTTTCTTCAGTAACTTTCATATCGTTTCAGACAATCCTTTACTATGAATTCTGTAAACAAACTCTACGGAAATAATATCTGAACGATTAGTTTTGCAAATATTCGTCCCCTTTCCTAACATCCTCGTTTCATTTTCACTTAGAAATTTAGAATATATATCCTAAGCTCTTTTTAAAAACAATATATGGTTAATAGTTATGTCATAAACCTGATTGTCTAGTGTTTAATTTGAATGCAATAGAAGTAAAATATGAAAACTCAATCTATGTGTTGCATAGAGTATGCATTGATCCTAGAGATTTACACTTTTCAATCAAAGAACAATGAACATTGACGTTTTTACGGCTTGTCTAATGTACCTAAACTTTAAATTATATGTTAATTTTTGTTCTAATACGTATTAGTGATGTTACGGAATCTTAATCACCACAATAGTTACATTCACAAGCAAATACAAATTCTAGCGAATTTTTTAACCAAAAGATGTTTGTCTTTTTCTAGCTATGAGCTTTGAACAAAACTTGGAATGTAATCTCTCTCTGACCTGAAATCACGAAGGCAGGGGAATCTTTTAGCTGCGTGCACTTCTCTTCCGACCACGTGCTTTGCTGCTTGTTATTGCCTTCTTTGAGGCTTCTTCCTCGCTCTGCTCATTATCGGTTCTTCCACTCTCAAAGCTTTCAGTTTTGTCCGTTGACTCTTCCTTTTAAACTGCTCTTCCTGAATCTTCTTTATCCCTTAGTGCTCTGAGTTTTGCCTTCTTTGTGTTTAACACAGAAACGAACTGCATTGACACAACAAAAAAAAAGAACACATATCAATGCTAAACATGACAATATATTTTCATAGAGACATTTCTGCACGAATACAAATGGGAAGCAATTAACATACATTATTAGAAAATCAAATTTACTGATTCTAATTTAAGCAAGAGAAGAAATCAGGATGTGGATAATACATGCCTTTGCATAAGTTGCATCCTCAAACTCCGCTTTTTCTTTGCAGACCTTTTCACCTTGCGCTAGGCATTTCTCTGCTTCACTTTTCACCTTCTCAAAAGATCTGGTCTTTTTCACAACTTCTTCCTGTGGAGTGTTTGAGAGATTGTCATTTCACCTTGCGCTAGGTCTCATTCATCATATTCAGTGCCAAAACAAAATATGATTAACCCTTGGCCTTTTAATTCTCAAACATCACAAGAAACGCCCAAAAGTCAGAAGATATATTGTAGAGTTTTACACTTCGCCTTATATTTGCTTCCATAAGAAAATCCAAGATTCCCACTGTCGTCATCTTACTGTCATGTGATGGTTTACATTTCCACGCCATTCGAGTTTAGTTCCTTCTCGAAAGTCCAAGAGAGCTATAACCACACAAAAATCACATACAACAAACAAAATCTCAGGCTTGCTCGAGACCCAAGAGTTATCAGACTATCATGAGATTACATAGACTCAACGTGAGAAAGGTGTGGAGCACTAAGACCAGATCCAACAGTAGAATAATGTAGACTAAATTAGAAATGTACTATCACAAACCTGTATAAATTCAGCTGCCTTTGGTCCATTCTCCATATCAAAACTGCAAAGCCAGTGCCAAACTTAATGACTTATTATAACTAAATTCACATAATCCATTCACAAAGTCATATGTGTGTGTATATATCTTCTGTGATCACAGAGCGTTCTTATCAAGGATTAACCACAAAGCTTTTGTTGAGGATATTCAAGTGGCCAAAACTTCAACACTCCTCCAAAACTTTCTACGAAACCAATCTGCTTAGAATCTATCTAGAGTCGAAGCATAAAGACGAAAAGTGAGGTTAAAAGTAGATAACATATTGATACTTTGAATAGTTTAAGAATACAAAATTTGTAGATAACTATCTTTACTTAATCAATCAAGCAGGAGGTGAAAGAGGTGATGAATCTACACGAAGGTGGAAGAGTTTAGTTAATGCTCGACGCTCACAATCCTGAAATGAAACCAAGTTTATTATTAATCTCTTCAACGTCGTCTGATCTAATTACTTAAACCGATGATCAAGCTCTAATGTTACCTTGAACATGTATAGGCGTAGTGGTCTATCTGGATTGAGTCTCTGGAGTTTAAGGTATGTGTATGCAAAACTCAACTGATCTCGCGATGTAAACCGATTAACTTCATTGAACCAAAGGCAGGAGAAGAGGTTCGACATTAGTGTATGAGCTCTTACGATAAAAGAACCTTCAGGTACAAAATATGTATGGTGAGAGAGAACAGAATGATTGATTGATTGAAAACTCACAGTTTGGAAGAGGAGAATTAGGATCTGAAGGGTCAAATTTCTTAAGTCCATCTGATCGGTAAAATATAAACTGTTCATCAATGGCCGAGTAGTTGTACTTGTTCAGCCGTTTGTTTTGTAACACTGCGATGGCGGAGGTATGGATCCATCGGAGGATAAGACACGCCGGAAGCTTTAAGAGAAAGAGTGAGAGACCAAAGAGGGCAGGAGAAACCGAGCCCATAGATCCGGCGGATCTGGCAGGTCCGGTGGCTCTGGAGGAATGGGGATGGTCGGTGACATTGAGAAGGAGGTTCTCCGGTGGAAAGAGAGAGACGTGCTCGCTCAAGCAGTTTCGACGGAGTGAAACGATGGATCAGAAGCTCAGCCCACAAGTACAACATGGAGTTCATCGATTCAAGTGCCGTAGAGAGAGAGGGAGGCAGAACACAATTTTGCCGGAGAAGAGAACGGCTGAAGAACAATTTTGATTTTCATCGTCTCGTCTCGTCTCCTCTCTTCTCTCAAGGGATTTTAGTGATGTTCATTATAGTAAAAAAATAGTATTAAATTTCAGAAGAAACGCTTCGGATGAAGATAATTTTTATTTGACTGAAGATATTTTTAAAAAATAAAAAAATAGAAAAAAAAGTAAAGCTGATGTGTTATTCCCTTGTGAGATACAACTTACTCTTTATATAATAGATTACTAGAGTAACCTGTATTTCTTTTTAACAAATTGGACATATTTTATGTCTATTTTGCGTTTAATAATTCTTAACCAAAAAGAATAGAGCAATTTCCATAATTACATTGAAAATAAGTTTTTAAGACAAATATAACAGGGAAGCTAAAATTTTTCTATCCTTAAAATTTTTCATTCGAGTTTTCTGAGTTTACCCTTTAGGAAAGTCTTCCTAAATGTTTTTTTCTGTTAATGTTTGTTGATTTTTTAGAAAGGTCTTCCAAATACTAGAATTTAACATCGTTTCATATGGTTTAGGAAAGCTTTCATAAATTTTTTAAAATTTCCTGAATTGTGGAAGGGCTGTCATTTACAATATTTTCAAAAATGTCATGATAGATTTATAAAATAAATAAGTCTATCGAAATAATCTGCCATTTTTTCGGTGGCAGGTTTTTATTTTTGTACAGATTTAATTTGTTTGACAAATTTTTTTTCACAGATTTTTATCTATGACATGTTTATTTGTAAAACTTTGTCATATGAAATAACAGATTTATTTTCTTCGTTAGACTTATTTTCTGAGACAAATTTATATAGCAGATTTTTAATAATGACACAACAGATTGAATTATTTTTAACATACTTATTTTGTGAGAAAGATTTATATAGAAGATTTTTTATAATGACATAACAGATTTAATTATTTTTAACAGACTTAATATTAGATGACAGGTTTGTTTGCTAAACTTATTTTCGTCATCTATGTTATTGATGACAAATTTTTTTAAAACGACAGATTTTGGTAAAAATCAGTATGGAACAACAGATTTACTATGACACACTTTTATAAATCTATTATGACAGACTTAAAATAATAAATATTTACTAGTATGTTAAATACCTAATTTGACATAATATAAACTTAAAAATAAGAAAACGACGCCCAAGTGTGTTTTAGGGTTGTCACTAACCATCTTCTGCTCTCTTCAAAACAACCAAACATCTTCTTCCTCTTTAAAACAAACCCCACATTAGTTATGGCGCAAATAATCTTGGTATGTGGTAAATGGATGCTTGAAGAAAACAAATGGTTATTTGTTGTCGATGTTAACAAAGACTCCAAAACTGTAACAATAGATCGTAGTACATCTTATGAAGAATTCATTCAAACAGTTTACGAGGAGTATGGATTGGATGCGAGATTATATGAGGTTGATTTTAGTTACACATTTCCGAAAAGAGTTTTGATGAAGTTGCCGCATAATACAGCTCCGGTGGTTGTTGGAATTTCACGACAATTTAAGGTTTTTGAATAATACAAAGCTGCTCCATGTCGACTTTGTGTCCAAGTCAAATGAGGAGAAAGTGTCAATGTGTCATGTTTTCGTTTACCCAAAACGATAACAACGCAGCTTACTAGCATAGTTGCCAAATTCTTGTGGAGTACGAATGGAAATGATAAAGGAATGCACTGGCTTGCTTGGCATAAACTATGCAAATCTAAGACCGAGGGGGGGACTTGGGTTTCGAGTTATAGAGGATTTTAACACGGCTCTACTTGCTAAGCAACTATGGCGGCTCATCGATTATCCAGATTCATTATTTGCAAGGGTTTTCAAGGGTCAATATTTTTGGAATGCGACGCCTCTAGATCCTATACGATCATACTCAGCGTTATATGGGTGGAATAGTATTATATCTGCTAGATCTCTGGTACACAAAGAGCTTATCAAAAGAGTTGGCTTAGGACATTCTATATCCGTTTGGAATGATCCCTGGATTCCATCCTCACGCCCGAGATCAGCAACATGCAAAGGATATAATTTTTACCCCGAGCTGACGGTTAATCAACTGATTGACCCTATAACGTCAATGTGGAATGTCCCACTGATTAAAAAACTAATTGTTCTGGAAGACATAATGATTATTACAGGAATTCCTATAAACCAGATCCCCTCAATTGGGGGTTAACAAAGACCGGACGATATACGGTGAAGTCTGGATATATGACTGCGCAGTTATTATCTGAGATGAATAATAAACCCCGGGTTTTTGGACCAGATGTGTGTAAACTACAGAAACAGGTATGGAAAGTTAAATGCCCACCAAAAATGAAGCATTTTATGTGGCAAATAATTTCGGGTTGTATAGCGGTAATGCATCGATTACGTAGTAGAGGTATCAACTGTAATCCACAATGCACGAGATGTGGTGCAGAGAGGAAAACCATTAATCATACTTTATTTGAATGTCCACCGGCTATCTAAGTATGGGCGCTATCGCCGATCCACACTCCACCGCAAAGGTTTCCGACGGATGCGTTATACACTATTATGGCCCATTTATTGTGGCAGTTGCCAAACGATGAGGACATGACGATTTATCCTTGCCTTTTATGGTACATTTGGAAGATGCGAAATGATAAGATCTTTTCAAACATCACTCGAGATCCCCGGGAGGTGGTCCGTTTGGCAATAGCAGAGACAAGGCATGGGAGATGGCTCAGGTGGATGATATGCTGGTCAACAGACCTCAAAGTTCTCCAAGTCCTCCAACGACTCCAAGGACTCCTGTTATACCAATTATAAGTTATGATGGATTAACATGTCTAATTGACGGATCATGGAAACAATCAGACGAACATGCAGGAATTGGATGGTTCTGTCAAGGAAGAGGAACAATGGGTACGTTAATGGGTGCGAAAAAAGTCAGACAGAGTTTATCGGCATTGTATTCGGAACTAGAAGCATTAATATGGGCAATACACTGTATGATTGATGAGGGGAGACTTATGGTAGCTTTTGCTACAGACTGTTCCAACCTAGTGAAGATGGTGGGTAACCCAGCGGAGTGGCCAGCTTTCTCGTTAGATTTGGAGGAATATGGGCGGAGTCGAAAAGAGTTTGCGCTCTGCTCTGTATCATATATTCCCCGGGCGCGGAACACGAAGGCAGAGAAGTTAGCACGGAGTGCTCGGACCTACCTTCATCACCTACACTATGTGAACTCAGTCCCACCGGCTTGGATATTCAACTCGTTCTAAGAATTTTGAGACTGTTGTCAAAAAAAAAAAAGGAATACAAATTCTTGTAAATAATAGTGTAAGAATCAAATCAATGAATAACAAATACAAATATATATATATATATATATATATATATATGTGAAAAGCCTAGAAAATGAAATTCAGATTCACGAGTGGCATCCGATCCCTACAAATGATCAAGTGTCTGAGGCCAAGATGCATAATTAAGAGCTACTGCTAATTAATTGATAATATATACACACGAGAGAGAGAGAGAGCAGCCCCGGCTCTTAGGCATGGCGGGAGGGGCAATGGTCATGGGTCCAAAAATTTAAGGGCTCAATTTTTTTTTTTTTTTTTTAGATTGAAAACTTTGTTATAATGTGTTCATAACACATTAAAGAAAAATAGAACTGATTTATGTACATAATAAGGTCCACAATCCATTTAATAAAAAAAGAGATTATGATCTAAAAGAAATTATACCTAAAATTTAAGAGTCCAATTTTTTTATATATATTATAAAATTTGTTAATAATATACTTTGAAGATATTTATGAATATATAATTAATTTTTAGTATATAAAAAGGCTCATGATTTATTCAATTATTAATAAGACGTCGTAACCTACTTATACAAAAGGATTATACCTTAACTGTTTCCTTTTTTAACAAGACAATAACCATCTAAATTATTAAAAATTACAAAGAATTTCAAGATCAGATCAATGTTTCAACAAAGTTTGAATGGTCTTGTACTTTTATGCATTGAAAAGGAAGTTTTAAAATCTATAAATTTTGAAAAAACTATTCAATAATTTGCATCAATAAAGTTAGGAAAAACGATATATATGACTTCTTTTTCTAAAAAGAATTAATATTCTTTTGTATTTTTTATGTTTGATGAATTTTTATGCAATTTACGGAAATGATGTACTTGAATGAAGTATTATGTCAAAAAAATTATACAAACTAGTTATGTATTTTTTTTATAACAACTAGCAATTTATTTTATATTTTAAAAAGTCAAAAAGTTATAGTTTGGTTTATTTTGATTAATACAATTACTTTTTATTAATATAATATAAAAGGTCCATATTTTGTCTTTCGTCCAATGCTCTTGAAATTGCTAATTAATTGATAATATATACACACGAGAGAGAGAGAGAGAGAGAGAGAGAGAGAGAGAGAGAGCAGCCCCGGCTCTTAGGCATGGCGGGAGGGGCAATGGTCATGGGTCCAAAAATTTAAGGGCCCAATTTTTTTTTTTTTAGATTGAAAACTTTGTTATAATGTGTTCATAACACATTAAAGAAAAATAGAACTGATTTATGTACATAATAAGGCCCACAATCCATTTAATAAAAAAAGAGATTATGATCTAAAAGAAATTATACCTAAAATTTAAGGGTCCAATTTTTTTATATATATTATAAAATTTGTTAATAATATATTTTGAAGACATTTATGAATATATAATTAATTTTTAGTATATAAAAAGGCTCATGATTTATTCAATTATTAATAAGACGTCGTAACCTACTTATACAAAAGGATTATACCTTAACTGTTTCCTTTTTTAACAAGACAATAACCATCTAAATTATTAAAAATTACAAAGAATTTCAAGATCAGATCAATGTTTCAACAAAGTTTGAATGGTCTTGTACTTTTATGCATTGAAAAGGAAGTTTTAAAAACTATAAATTTTGAAACAACTATTCAATAATTTGCATCAATAAAGTTAGGAAAAACGATATATATGACTTCTTTTTCTAAAAAGAATTAATATTCTTTTGTATTTTTTATGTTTGATGAATTTTTATGCAATTTACGGAAATGATGTACTTGAATGAAGTATTAT